CTGACAGGAATCGAACCTGCAACATTTTGGTAAACAGGACAATGTTCCAACAAACCAAGCCACCCAACCAGGGCTCACAAATATTTTACCAAGTACATCCCTCTAAGCTAGGTCATTGGTTCGCCATATCTGGGCTTATAAGTCATTTTCATTTTGTAATTGTTTTTTAATTTTTCTTCAGTTTTTCTTACATCTACTTAAAAAATATTTTGGCAAATCTATACTAATGGGCTTATTTTACCCAGAGTAAACAGATACTTACTTTGAACAGTGAGACTTCTCCCATCATCCACATACCATACTGCCTAAATTTTACCAGTAAAGACTCACTGCTTCAGGCTAAGTATTGCTCTCTTTTTGCTGTTTTCTCTTAAAATGTAAATAACCTGTAGAAGTGTAGCACATTGAGGAACAAAAATGTACCTAGAACATTTGTGTGACTTCAGGTAAATAAATGAAGAGTTACATCAGAAAAATTCTGAATGGAATAAAAGATACAGAATTGGAGTTTTGCCTGGTAAAGAAGAGACATAAGAAAAGGGAACGTGAAGAACAAGTATTACTAAATTCCTGGTTTTGCCTAAGGTCTACCTTGTTTTCAACTTGTTAAGATTTTTTTCAGGGAAGTTAGTTGTGTCTACTTGCTATAGGAAACATAAGGTACTCCAGTAGCCATACATCTAGGGAACAGGAGACTTGTGCCATGTGTTCTCTCTCTCTCTCTCTCTCCCCCCCGCCTCCGCCTCTCCCCCCTTTTTCTTCTCCTTTTTTTCTTGCAATAAATATTTATTGAATGCTTATTTTGTACCAGGCAGTATCCTAGACACTGGGGGTACAATGATAAAACAGACAAGATCTTTGTCCTTGTGGAGCTTACATTATAATAAGGAGGAGACAGACTACAAATGATAAACATAATGAATAAGTAAATGATATACCATATTAGCAGGCAATTCATTCCAAAAGGAAAAGAAAAAGGAAACAGGGTAAAAAACATCAGGTATTACTGGGTTATAAAAGGACAGTTTGCAATTTTCCACAAGGTTGATATAGACTCATTGAGAAGAATTCTTTTTTATTAGTGTTAATTTTTGAGAGAGAGAGAAACATTGATTTGTTGTTCCACTTATTATGCATTCATTGATTACTTCTTACATGTGCCCTGATGGGAGATCTAACCCACACACTTGGCATATTGGGTCAATGTTCTAACTAACTGAGCTACCCAGCCAGGGCCGAGATTTCTTTATGAGCAAAGGAGATAAATAAAGTTAATCATGAGAATATCAAGAGAAAGAGCATTGCAGGCAGAGGAGAGAGATAGTGAAAGACCATACTCGGGGGACATGCCTGACTTGTTCAAAGAACGGCAAGGAGATCACTATATTTAGAGTGCAGCAAACAAGGTTAGAGAAGTAGAAAATAAGGTTGGGGAAAATGGGAACAAATGGTGGAGGGTTCTGTGAACACTACCTGAGTGAAATGGGAAGCTATTATAGAGTTTGGAACAGAGCACAAAAATAAAATGAACTGACTTAGGTTTAAAGGGGTCACTCTGGCTACTGCTTGAGAACAGACAGTTGGGGGCAAGAGCAGAAACAAGGAAGGCATTCAGAGGCGACTGCAGGAACCTAGGAGTGAGATGATGGCAGCTTGGACAGTGGTAGATGTAGAGGTGGTGGAAAGCATTAGGATTTTGTATCAATGTTAAAGGCAGAGCAAACAGGAGTTGTTGACAGATTAGATATGGAGGCATAAAAGAAAGGAAGATATAACAATAATTCCAAGGTTTTTGACCTGAGAAACTGGAAGAACGATGTTGTCATCCATCAGGTCAGGGGTGGCCATGGGAGAAGCAAGATTCAGGGAACAGCAGGGGTTTGGGGTGTGATGAGTGTGAAACGTCTATCAGTTACAGCTACATCGGAATTCAACTGGTTGTATGAGCTGAGGAAAGCCATCTACCCTCTCTCCAGGCTTCATCTGTGAAACGCAAAATTAGGACTAGAAGAACTTCAAGGTGCCTCTAACATTTTCTTTTTTTAATTTTACTTGGCTAACTTGCTTGTGTGCTAATTTTCACAATTACTTGTGTGTGTTTTCACAAACTAAGTTACATTTTTTAAATTTTAAACAGAGTGGTCAGGGTAGACCCCATTGAAAGGGTGACTTTTCGATAACGGAAACAAAGTTAACCGTGAAGCTATCTAAGAAGGAACGTTCCAGGCAGAGAAAAGAATTAGTACAAGGACCCTGAGGTAAGAGTGGGCTTGTTTATGAGATTGCTCAGTTTAATAAATAAGGGTTAAGGATAAGGCAAGTTAATTGATAAAACCTACAAAAAGAGCAACAAGTCTTGAGTGAAGGGAAAAGGGGACATTTAGAAGATTTAAAGTATTCAAGTGCTAGTGGAACATCAAATGGCTTTTAGAAAAATAACAATTTGATGATTCAAGCATAAGTGAATCAAAACCATAAGAAATACCTTTTCCCTTAAATTATTAGGTAAAAAAATTCACACATAAAATTCTTGACAAATTTGCTTTAGATAGGTTTTTTTAATCTTTTTTCTCTTCTTCAAAAAAGCCTAAGTTTTAAAAATTTAAAGTGTTGTTTTTATAAACAGTCTCAAATTTAGCAATAATGAAATAATTTGGTTTGAAAGAAATAATGCCAATCAAATCAATGAATGGAAAACTACTAGAAAAATAATTCAAATCACAAAATAGCAAACTTTCTAATTGTCTGAGATCCTTTTTGATGTAGGTAGGAGTTTAAAAATTAAATGAAAGCCAGGAGATTTCCCCATGAAACAGGCAAAATCTTTTCTGATTTTGATATTTTCCAGATTCTTACATTTTCTTACGTTTTGAGTAGGACAAATGTATTATTTTTTTCTGCTCTCCCAATAGAAACCTGTGGTTATCTAACACAGACCTGGCAAAATGGGAGAGATACTCCATTAATTTAGATGGAATGTGAGACCCTTCCTGGCTTCCTGGGGCTGGAATAATTGAAATGTAAGTGGGTAAGAACAAAGAGAAGAATGTGCTAGGAGAAGGAGTGTGTAAATGGCGTGTGTGGAATGCAAGTAGAAGACAGTCACAATCCAGGATGGTAGATAGAAGTCTCAGAACCTGTCCCTATGACATAATAAGAACAGAAAATCCTTACAGAGTGCTTACAATGTTCCAGGGAGTGTCCTTTACATATATGTAATAATATCTTTTATTCTGACAAGTGAAATATATAGCAACTGGCCACAGAATTTTAAATTTGAAAATGCATTCCACTGCTTTCTACCTTCTAATGTTGCAGAGTGGAATTTCACTGCCAGCCTCTTTCTTTACCCCCATCTCCCCTTTACAAATAACTTACTCATTCTTTCTGGAAGCTTGTAAGATGTTTCCCTTTATCCTTGGGTAAATAACAGAAAATGCTTAAAGAGTGCCTACTACATGCCAGAAAATATTCAAAGCATTTCACATATATTAATATATTTAATCCTCCCAGCAATACTGTGAAACTATTAAAATTGCTATACTCATTTTACAGGTGAAAAAACAGAGAAGATACATAAGGCGTTCAAATTAAATAACATCCAGGACAGCTGGGGAAGAGAGGAGAGCAGAGGAAATAAAGCCACTGTGCTTCCCAGAGCGCAGGAAATTTGAAAACAGAAATTGTGTCATGGATGATGGGGCTGCTGAGACAGTGGAAGCCTGACGTGTGCCACAGAGCCAACCAACGGAAAGAAATGTTCCGAGCCCGGTGCAGGGCGAGTGCCCTGGGGCAGATCATATCTTTCCCCTACGAAAAACAGACCCAGGAACCAACAAAATCTAGAACTGTGGCTTACGTGGCCTTCCATGATTTGGGCCCCTGTACACCTCTCCACTGTAAACACTTCCTTTTTTTTTTTTTTTTTTTTTTTTTTTGTTTGCTTTGTTTTGGTTGCACAGCCCTTTGAATACCCTCCCTATGTTTGAGGAATTCACGACCTTCCAGATATTGCCTCCCTGCGCAAGCCACACAGTTTTTCCAGCCCCAGTTTTATCAAGGGTGGAAACTACATCAAATGTGAATGGCTGAAGAACTGGCAATGTTTAACCCGGAGGAGAAGAAACTTCGGTGGGGTTGGGTGGGTGAAGGAAACCATTGATGAAGACCTCTCCAAATATTTGAAGAGCCGGCAAATGAAAGAAGGCTGTGGCTTAAGAGCAGAACCTGGGATGTGGGGGAGGCAAAATCCAGGGAGAAAGAGAGAGCCAAGCGGTTGAGGATGTAGAGGTGGGGATGCGGGGCCGGGGGCCGGGGGCGGGGGCCAGAGGGGTAGTGGGAGGGGGGGAGGGGGGAACAACTCCAAACACATTCTCCAAAATGATTGCCTTCTATACAGTTTTTTAAAAAATCAACTTTCTTAAGGTATAGTTTACATACAATAAAAAGCATCCAGTTTAAATGTACATGTTCATGAATTTTGACAAATGAGAATGCACATGTAACGAATCAAGATACAGCACCTTTCTATCACCCCACAAAGTTTCCTTTTCTCCATCCAGTCACCATTCCCACCCCCAGTCCTAGGCAACCACTGATCTGATTTGCGTTACTAAATCTAGGTTACTCTTGCCTTTTCTAGAATTTCATATAAACATAATATTACATTTATGTCTGGCTTCTTTGCTCAGAATGATGTTTTTGAGATTCATCGCTGTAATAGCACACTTCAACTGTTCACTTCTGTTTACCGCTTAGTAGTAGTCTATTGAATAGATATACTATTTTTGTTTATTCATTCATTTGTGACGAACATTTGAACTTTTCCCCCCAATTTTTATTAAAAATTAAATGGCGTGTGTGGAATGCAATGCTTAAGCTACGATTACCATTTACCTACAAATGTTGGGAACATCTGTTTTCATTCCTCTTGGACAAAGACTTAGGAATGAAATTGCTAGGTTAAATGATCAGGGCATATTCAACCTTACTTAAAAAAATAAAAAACAGAATGCTTCACTAATTGAATGTCATCTTTGTGCAGGGGCCATGCTAATCTTTGTATCGTTCCAATTTTAGTCTTCGTATGTGCTGTCAAAGTGAGCACCATATTCACCCTTTTAAGAAATTGCCAAGGTCTTTGACAAGGGTGTGTTATCTTATTTTTTTTAGTTTAAAAAACATATTTTATTTATTTATTTTTAGAGAGAGGGAAAGGGAGGGAAAAAGAGACGGAGAGAAACATTAACATTTGAGAGAAACCTCAATCAGTTGCTGACTGGGGACCTGGCCCAGGATCCAGGCATGTGTCCTGACTGGGAATTAATTGAACCAGTCACCTTTTGCTCTGAGGGATGACACTCAACCAACTGAGCCGCACCGGTAAGGGTGAGTGAGCTATCTTATATTTCTTCCAGTAATCTGTGAGATTTCCAGTTGTGCCACACCTTTGCCAACTTTAACCATTGTAAGTCTTTGAGTTGGAGCTCTTCTCATAGGTATATAGTAGTATATTATATCATCATGGTTTTAACTTGCATTTCCTCAATGACTAATGATTTTGGCTGTTGAGCATTTTTTCATGTGCTTATTTATTGTTCATATAGCTTCTCTGGTGAAGTGCTTGCTCAAGTCTCTTGCCGGTTTTTCATGAGTTTTTATTAATTGTAACTTTCTATTTTTTGGACCAAAGACCTTTATTTGGATTATGTTTTGCAAATATTTTATGAAAACCATGGCTTGAATTTGATTTTCTTAACAGTATCTTCTTAAGAGAAAAAGTTTTTAATCTTCATGGAGGAGATCAAGGTTTATGTTTTGCAACTGGAAATACAATTGTTCCATTATCATTTGTTGAAGATACAATTATTTCATTATTGAATTACTTTGGTATGTCTTTGTCAAAAGTCAAAAGATCTTTTATGTGTCGGTCTGTTTTTGGGCTCTTTATGCTATTCTATTGATCTCTATGTCTGTTCTCTCTTTTAAAGAAATTTAAACATTTTATTTATTTATTTTTAGAGAGAGAAGAAGGGAGGGAGAAAAAGAGGTAGAGAAACAATGATGTGAGAGAAAAACATCAATTGGGTGTCTCTCACATGCCCCAAACCAGGGACCTGGCCTGCAGCCCAGGCATGTGCCCTGACTGGGAATTGAACCAGCGACCTTTCGGCCTGTGGGACAACACCCAACCCACTGAGCCTCACCAGTCAGGGCTCTACGTCTGTTCTTAGGCTAGTACCACAATCATGAGTACTGTAGCTTTACAGTAAATCTTCAAAGAGGTAGTGTATTTCCTCAACTTTGTTCTTCTTTTTCAAAATTGTATTTCCTAGTTTAGAGATTTTGTATTAACATATAACAGTGATGAATCTCAAAAACATCCTGCTGAGCAAAGAAGCCAGACATAACATGTAGTATGATGTTTATATGAAATCTTAGAAAAAGCAAGAGTAACCTAGATTTAGTAATGCTAATCAGATTAGTGGTTGCCTAGGACTAGGGGTGAGCGTGGGTGACTGGGTGGAGAAAATGAAACTCTGCAGGATGATAGAAAGGTGCAGTGACTCCCAAGAGATATAGGGTTTCTTTTTAGGGTGATAAAAATGCTCTGGAATTAGATAGTAGTCATGTTTACATAATCTTGTGTGTATACTAAATTACTAAACATCATTGCACTGTACACTTTAAATGGGCGAATTTTATAGTATGTGAATTATATCTCAATTAAAAATAATAAAACAAAATAAACCAACTTTACTATTCTGAGATAAACATTTCTTGAATGTGATGTGTTACTGTTTTTATGTATTGCTGGATTTAATATACCAAAATTCTGTTAGAGGTTTTTCTATCTATTGATATGCAGTCTTTTCTCATAATGCCTTGGGTTTTAAAAGCAGCATACACTATCTTCATAAAAACAGTTTTATTGAATATATTTATTTCTTCTTTAAATGTTTAGTGAAATTCACCAGTGAAGCCATTTTAATCTGGAGTTTCTTTGTGGGAAGGTTTTGAACTACAAACTCAATTTCATTAATAGATAAAGATCTATTTCTTCTTGAATTAATTTTTGTAGTATTTTTCTATGAATTTCCCATTTTACCTAAAGTTGTCAAATCTATTGACATAACGTTTCTAATACTTTCTTATTTTTCTTTATTTGAGAAAGTATTTATTTATTTATTACCTAAACTTTGGATTTAATTGCTCCTTTTTCTAGTTTCTTAAAGTAAAAACTTACGTTATTTATCTGAACATTTAAAGCTATAAATTTCCCTCTATATACTGCTTTAGCTGTCTGTCATAAATTTTGATATGTGGTGTTTTCATTTTTATTTAGTTCAAAATGTATTGTAATTTCATTTGTGATTTTCTTCTTTGAGTTATTTAGAAATATGTTTGTCAATTTCAATATTTGGGGAGTTTCAGGGATTTTTTCTTACTGATTTCTAATTAATTTTGTCGTAATTCAGAGTATATACTGTATGTTTTCAATGCTTTTAAATTTACAGAGACTTCCTTTAAGGTCTAGAATAAGATCTACATTTGTGAGTGCTTTATTGGCATTTGAAAAGAATATGCTTTTTATTATCATTTTGTGGAGTGTTAAACAGAATGTTAGTGCTCAAGCCATAGTATTGTTAGTACTGTCTACTTGTTCTATCAATTACTGAAAGAGGAGTGTCAAACTCTCCAACTATAATTGCAGATTTGTGTATTTTTCCTTCCATTGTATCAATTTTTGCTTCCTGTATTTTGAGGCTGTTTTTAAGTGCATGAATATTTAATATTTTTATGTCTTCCTGATGAATTGACCTCATTACAATTATGAAGTGTTCTTTTTTTATCTCTTGTCCTAAATTCTGATCTTTCTGAAATAGAGCCATTATAACTATCTCTTGATTAGTGTTTGCATGATATATTACTTTAAATGTGTCTTTATATTTAAAATAGGTTTATTGTAGGTGGCACATAGTCGGGTATTGCTTTTTTTTACATTTTTAATGTAAAATATAAATAACATGGTGGAATTATGTAATAAAATATACATAATGTAAAACTGACCATTTTAACCATTTTTAAATGTATGTTTCAGTGGCATTCATATTGGTGTGCAACCACAACCACTATCAGTTTCCATGATTTTAAAATTATTACAAACAGAAACTCTGTACCTATAAATGATAACTCTTCACTGTCTCTAGCCCCCAACCCGTGATAACCTTTATTCTACTTTCTGTTTCTAGGAATTTATCTATTTTATGTACCTCATATAAGTAGAATATCTGTTGTATTGTGTCTGCTTCTTTCACTTAGCATAATGTTTTCATGGTTCATCCATGCTGTATGTAGCGCGTATCAGAATTTTATTCTTTATATAGCTAAATTATATTCCATGGCATACATATACCACATTTTTAAAAATCAGTTAGGCCCTTGGCCAGTGTGGCTCAGTTTGCTGGCCATCATGCCACAAAGCAAAAATATTCCAGTTCGATTCAGGGTCAAGATACATGCCCCAGGTTTGGTCCCTGGTCGAGCATGTAGGAGAGGCAGCCAATTAATGTTTCTCTCCCTCTCTTTCTCCTTCACTTCCCCTCTGGCTAAAAAAAAATCACATACAAAATCAGTTGGTTTTTGCTTTTTTTAATCTTGTTTTATTTGTAGTGTTTGGACCATTTATCTTTTTAAAAAATTTTTATTTTTTTTAAAGATTTTATTTATTCTTAGAGGGGAACTGAGGAGAAAGAGAGGGAAAGAAACATCCATGTGTGAGAGAAACATCAATTGGTTGTTTCTCACACGTTCTGACTGGGGAGCAGGCCACAATCTAGGCATGCACCCACACTGGGAATTGAGAAAAGAACTGGTGATCTTTGGCTTTGTGGGCCAATGCCCAACCAACAGAGCTGTACCGGCCAGGGCTGGACCACTTATCTTTAATGTAATTATTGATATAGTGGGTTTAAATAAACATTTTTGTTATTATTTTTCTATTTGTCTCATTGTTTCTTCCTTTTTCCCACTTCTTCAAGATTCTTTTTTCAGTACAAATTTTATTTAAAATATTGAAATTTTTACCTGTAGAAATTCTATCTGAGACTATTCATATTTTCCTTATGTTTATATTGTCCTATCTTTGTCAGCACACAGTGCATATTTATAATATGTATTTTTAGCATACATGTCTGTTAATTTTATTATCTCTGGTATTTTAGGATTTGTTTCACTTACTAATTTTTTTTTTTTTTGCCTGGTATGGATTACATTTTCTTATTTCCTTGTATGTCTGGTGATTTTTTATTAGATAATGAAGATTATGAATTTTATTAATTTAGTGCTAGATTTTGTTGTATTCCTTTAAAGAAGGTTATATTTTTTTGTGGTAGATAGATTACTTTCAGATTTTTTAAAATCACATTGAGGCTTGTTTTTAAGCTTTTTAAAAAAGCTTCTAGAATAACCTTAATTCTAGAGCTAATTTAGCCTCACTTTTAAGGGATGGACCTTCTTAGATCTTCTCAGATCTCTGTTAAATGGCTAAGTATTCAACCAGATTTCCCCACTCTGGATGGAGGAAATTCAAATATTTTTTGATCCTATGTAGTTTCTGGGAATTCCTCACTGGCTCACTTTACAGATTCTCAGTCATTAGTCTTCCCTCACAAGATTTTCATGCCTAACAACAAGGGGTTTTAGTTTATGCATGCATAGATTGATATTCAGCAAAAACTTACAGAGATTCCTCTGCAGACTTCTGGACCTCTTTCTCTGTTCAGCGTTCTCTCTCTCTCTCTCTCTCTCTCTCTCTCTCTATCTCCTTTTAAGATAATAGCTGCCTAGCCTACCCAAACTGGTTTCCTCAGCTCAACAAGATGCCGACTTCTTTTTCCCCATGCTGCACCTCAGAAACTTCTTACTCAAGGCAGTAATCTGAGATAATCATAGGGATTCTCTCAGGGATCCAGTTCTACACTATCTGATGTCTAATGTCTGAAAATTGCCATTTCATCTATTTTGCCTGATTTTTTTCGTTTATGGTGGGAAGGCAATTTCTGTAGCAGTTAATCCTTCATGGGTGGAAAAGGAAATTCCCCTCTC